AGGCGCCTCAGGGCAACAAAAAGAAGGCTGGGATAGCCTTGTATACATTGACTAAGCATTTCATACATATATATATATATAAGTAGATGGGCTGGACAGCGCCAGACGCCTCAGGCCAACAAAAAGAAGGCTGGGATAGCCATGTACACATTGACTAGGCACTTCAAATATACAACTAGGTGGGCTGGACAGCCCCAGGCGCCTCAGCGCAACAAACAGAAGGCTGGGATAGCCTTGTATACACTGACTAGGCACTTCAAAGAAGTAGATGGACAGCCCCAGGCGCCTCAGGGCGACAAAAGAAGGCTGGGATAGCCTTGTATACGCTGATTAGGCACTTCAAAAAATCCATGGGCTCGACAGCCCCAGGTGCTTCAGGGCGACAAAACGAAGGCTGGGATAGCCTTGTATACACTGATTAGACACTTCAAACATGTACATGGCTGGACAGCCCCAGGCGCCTCAGCGCAACACCTCAAGATACCGAAAGTTTGGCTGGGCAGGATGAACCAGGAAAACACAAAACTAGGAAGGGTTGATCGTGCACTGCCTAGGTTATCCAAATAGGTATCTGCCCTCCAAACGCACCAAAGATTAGAGGAGTGGAGCGGTGAGGCTCACGGAAAAATTAAGCAAATCGCATACTTGTGCGACTGTGCATGTGTGAAACCATGTGTTAAGTCAGTTGGGCAGGATCCTTGGGAACCTTGTTGAATATTCGGGGACACTTAGCAGGGCTTACCGCACATGGAGGCACGACTGCATTGTTTTTTGCTTTGCAGACATGGTGCAATGCAAACCACTTTTCATCCGGTGCAGGGTTTTGAGGTGCAAGTTGTATGTCCCAACACTGGCAGTATGGCTTGAACAGTTTGCCCGCTTCAGCAGGGGATTGTTCCTTGGGTTGCTAAACTGACGCTTGTGCTGACTTGAGAACCGGGTTTGATCCACAATTGGTGCCTGGTGTGATTGGTGATAGGTTGAATCATTTAGTATGACCCGCACTGAATCTGCGAACGAAACCCTGCATTTGCTGCAGAAAGCTGCAGTTGTTTTTCGCCATTGGTGGAGTTGGCCCTGGCCACTAAAAGTGATTTTCTGGGTTTTCTTCATGCGCTCAATGTTGCGACGAAATGAGGGAAAGGAAGGTTCCGAACCTAGTCAGGTCCGATTTCATTAGCTGTGGAAGGTCCGATCAGTATAAGTGAGACATGTTCAGAAACAAATCAGAATGCCGATGTCATAGAAAAAATGATTTCGGCCTTCCTTTCTCCATGTACAGTGCACCAACTCAGCAGCTGAAGTCGGAAGCCATGGCATGTAGTGATTTTGGATTGCTATTCCGCTGAACCCTGTGATACATGAGGGTTCCTTCGGTGAGCCTCGCTGTGAATTAATTTGCGCTGCCACGACGCTCTTTTGATCTTGTTCGGTGAACAAAGTGGACCTGCGTCTCACAGCGGATGCCATTTTTTGCTGTTAAGAAAGGGTTTGGCCACTAAGATCAAATTCTTTCCATCCGGTTGGTCAGGATGCAGCAATTGCCACTGTGGATGTGGTCGGGACCAACGCCATCAAAACAGTCGGGAGCCTCTGGAGCCATGGGGACCCAAAGTGCGTTGTTGTATTTTTTTGGAGGTTGGGGGGAATTGTATGCCAATGGGTTAATTTTGGCTGTTGAGAGAGTCTTGGCACATGCCCAGGTGGTGCGTTCGATCTTGACTGCAGAAGCAGCCATCAATGCCGATGACTTCAGTGGGAGGCTGTGGAAATGGGGTTGGTGTGGTTGGCATAGCATTCTCAGAAGTCCTAGCGGCATTACACAAACACTCCTTGAATATCCTGCTCATATCAGTGGGTTCTAACCATAGGTTGGACCCATGCAGGCCATCGCATTTTATCCACACTCCAAGAGACCTCCTGCACCGGTGTGTTATTGGAACAGTCCACAACTTTTCTGCAAGCATGCAGGCCAAGCAATCCGATTTTCTTGCCATGGATACTACTTCTGTTGCTGCCCTTTTTCAGCAAACTCCTTTCGCGCAGTGTTCACACAAGGCCTCAGTGCCGGCTGGCGGTGACACCCCGCCGGAGCCCGGAAGTCATTGAGGCAGGTCCTCAAACCACCATGTTCACATCCATGAATGGAGGGTACCATGAATAAAGCATCGTATCCTTCTCACGAGGCGTTTGGTAGGCTTGGCGACACCCCAACTACTGTCATAGGATCTCTTCGATTTCTGAAAGCACCGTGTTGCCTTGTCATGTTCTGAAAAAGATATGGGGCCTCAAAAAGTGTCTTCACTTTTGAACATACTGTTAGAAAGGCAATTCTAGAAGTTGAGTAGGGGTCTTGCCATATGGCCCCATCCACTTTTGCTGAACCTTTCATCCGATGCCGATATCATCTACGCAAAGGATGTCTAAAGATGTCTAAAATCCTTTCCTCCCAGGACTATCCGGACGGGCAAAGCAGTCATATGATATGATCTTGAAGGAGATGGGGCAACTCCCCCCACTTAGCTTGAATCCCGCAAATGGATTATATTATATGCATGTTCTTTATATGTATCGCAAGATTTTCAAGAGTTGCTAACCAATTGTTCTTTTTGTCCATCTGTGAAGCCGAAGACCAACTTGCAGGAGGCAGGAGACCGGCGAGGCCTTGAGCTTCGGATACGATGTACCACAGGTCACCGGGTTCCGATGCGGCGTGGCACCAGGAGGGCGCATCATGGCTCCCTGGGCATGTGCGGTTTGAATGCGCCACCACCGAACCTGTTTCCGAAGGGGGCGTCATATGCTACAGTATGTAGCTGCGAGAGGCTGTCGGCACAAATGTTCGTGATGCACACATGTTCGTAAGCCACTATATGTCTTTGTAACAATGACGTTTGATAGCTTGATGAGCATGTTTTGGACATGATCATAATTGAGAACACTGGGACGATATTGGAGACTTCGATGGTAGATTTGGCCCCAGCCAATTTCAGCAAGACTTTTTGGGCATATTGGGACAAGAGCAGATCGGATGTAGAACCCTGAAGGTATTGAGTAATTATGCTAATGGTTTCAAATGTTTCAACCTGCTCGTAATTTTTTGTTAATGGACTACCAGGCATGTCAACCTACAATGATTTTAAGACGTATCAAGGATCTAGATTCTATGTCTTTGACAATGTCTTGCACGCCCCAGATGTCAACTTTTGAGTTTTGGATTAAAGCAGTCCTTGAGCATATGTTTACACATTTATCCAGTTTCTTTTTGCTACTGCAAACATCCGGTTGAATCCATTTGAGACACTTGACTTTGCTTGACAACTTTTGGCCAGATCTCCCACCACCTGCAGAGGGAGAAATCCGCGTTGCGCCCACCGTGCATGTTGCTGGAAGTCTTTTCCGGTGTGGGTTCGCAAGATGTCGAACCGATATAATTCAAACGAAGGAAATATGGCCCGACGGTTCAACGCCCAAACAAGCACCCATTGCTGTCCATCTTGGCACATTTGAGACGCTGGAAGGGTTCTGGTTGGGTCTTGGAGTCCTTCTTCTCACTCTTTTTTGGAGAAAGAAAATGCCCAAACTAAACAAAAAAGCTCTCTTGATGTCATTGCTTATCCTGTCATTTTGCTTTCTTTTTGTGTCGCCTTTGACCGCCAGGCGCGGCACCAACGTGGGCAAGCTCGCCGGCAGCGTGGCGCGGCGCCTCCGCGAGCGGAACGTGGCGCTGGCCGGGCGGCCCGGATCGAGGAAGGGGACCAAAGTGGGAACAAAACCCAGAGAAGCAATACAGTAACAAGAAACTATTAGGTTGGAGGCCATCGCTAGTAACAAGAAGCTACTAGGAACAAAGGGCATCGCTACTAGGAGCAAGAAGCTACTAGTAGCTCCTGGCATTGTTACTAGTAACAAGAAGCTACTACAGTAGTAAAACACGAGGTTGTGAAGCACTGTCAAGAGGATGTCGTCAGACATTGCATGATGTTGCAAAATGGAAGTAATTGCAGATGGCGTTGACCAGTGTTCAAGGATTTGACCCTTGAATCAATAGTTTTTTGGCCCATGTGTTTAAGGTCTCGAGCGAGGCTTTTGCTGCATTTCACTTACTGGCTGGTGTATCTTGCTGGAATCTCCAATCAAGAGCTTGGATGCGAAGCTCCTGTCGCAAGGTGCGCGGTGCAGGTGCTGTTGCGCTTAAACACCAACTGCGAGCGATTGCTGTTGCGTCGCAATCTCAGCATGTTGGGCTGCATCCCCAACACCAACAAGGGGCATTATATGATTTGCTTCTATTGTGACCGTATAACTGTATAATACGGCAGGCAAATGTGTACAACAGCACACATGGCCTTTAGCCTGTGTTATTACTGTACTTCTTTGGCTTTGCCAGGATTAGAGTCAAGGTGTACAAACATTGGTAGATCATCCGAGCCATGAGGGTGCTCCCCGGAAAGTGCACAGAAGGCCTTTTCGTTAATGTTTGGTATTGAAGGAGCACATGCTTTGATGACACATCATTTTTTCTATAGGATATTGGGGCATCACAACGTGAACATGGCCTTTGCAGGAACAACTGGCCTTGGGGCCTCGTTCCCAGCTTTTCTAATTGCTTTCTTTGTTGGTGGTTCAGGGCTCAAATATGACTGTCTACTTGAGCCAGTCCAAAAGAATCCATTGTCATCTCATATACTGCTTGCTGTGTATGAAGTTTGTGTGACTCTCCAACTCCTTCGAAGGTCAGGTTACCTGGAGGAGCGAGACGAGCTGCAAACCGAGCTGGTGGCCTTGCTCCGCCTAGCGCTGGTGCCCAGCAAGAGGGGCATATTGGACCAAAAAGCAACTTGAACTCCACAGACTTCCATGGATTTGGGATAAAGCCTGTTGAAGCGTTTGGCTCAGGGTTTCAGCCACTCCCGAGATGTGGCCACGTCGCTTCTAGGCAAACCAGGACTGCAGTCCGAGAAGGATCCAGATTATGTTTAGGTTCAGAGCCAGAGCAGCACTTGGGGAGTCCCATTGATGGTCTTTTGTTCCCTTTTCTGATATCGCCATGTTGGCCTCTGTGCCGTCCTTGCTGACAACATGTCAGCGTTCGGCCCTTTTTGCGCAGCAGGGGCTTCCTCCGCCATCCACACGTTGTAGGGTAAAGATGTCCTGCAAGGTGGAGGAGGATCAAGCCCTTCGGATTCTTCGACGTAGTGCTGTGGCCTTTTGTGCTGCAAGCATCGGCAGAAAGGTCGCAAGCGCTAAGACTGCTAAGACCTCTGAGTCTGGAAAGACGGCCTTGATCACAGGTGCCTCGACTGGAATAGGCAAGGCGACTGCAGCTGAGCTGGCACAGTCTGGCCAATATTCACGGATTTTCCTGGCTGGGCACAACGAAGCCAAGACTCGACAGGCCATGAAGGATTTGCGCGCTGAAGTTCAATTGGACTATTTGCCATTGGAGCTTGCCTCCCTGGAGTCTGTGCGTCAGGCAGCTAAGACATTTCAAGACTCCCAGTTGCCTTTGCACACACTTATTTGCAATGCAGCTGTCATGGCGATACCTGAAAGGCAAACAACGAAGGATGGCTTCGAGCTTCAGTTTGAGGTAAATTATCTCAGCCACTTTCTTCTGGTCAACTTACTAATACCACAACTGGCAAGCGCTGGAACGAAGGAGGATCCCGCCCGCATCATTAGCGTCTCCTCTTCTGCGCACTTCGTCCGCAGTCCCTTGGCCTTTGGAGATACCGATGCTTTGAATCTGGAAGACTCTTCAGGTCCACGGGCCTACTACCCCTGGACGGCCTATGGACAATCCAAGCTGGCACAGGCAGGGGCAGTGTGTCCTCCGTCCGTGGCACTGGAATCGCAAACTCCCCAGCCCAAACGTGTTTGGAGGAGAAGGGTCAGGATCATTTGATCGTCTCCCACTGTGCTGTAACAATCTCTTACAATCCTAGATGGCCATGCCAGGCCATGTCTTTGGAATGTCCAGTGATGTCTCATCTGAATTCAAATGATGTCATGATTTCATCCCATGATGTCACTATTGATGACGTCATCCCTAATGCGAACCTAGGATTAATGAACCCCCCCAATATTAATCAAGCCCAGCTCGAGCCCCCAATACTAAACTAATTTAAAACCTGAATTTCCACCTTGGCATTCCCCTAATAATGTTCTTCCTGTCCAGAACCCCCCTCATATGAATCAAGCCCAGCTGCCCAGGAAAAATAGACATATAGTTTACTACTATTATAATTCTGTACATTTATTTTCTTTTTGGCTAGTATCTAATATCTTCTGGTCCGTGGTGAAACTGATCTTCTGATCCACCCCTGTCTCAGGTCATCACCTTTATTAGGGGGATGTGGTTACCAATGATTTCCTCTTCCAAGATCCACTGCTTCCAAGGGGTTATTCTGGGTGGATCTTGGAATCCTTCATTTTACTTATTTCTTTCTAATATATCATGATGGCAACTTTATTTTTATTTGTTGCCAGGTCAATGTCTAGGTTATTATTATTCATTCTTATGCCCTTTCATTTATTATCGCACATTATTAATTTATTTGTGCTATATCTTTATAAAATGAAAGGGCATTATATTATTAAATTGAGGTTGCAGGAGCACATAAGAAATACAAAAGGTGACAAAGAAAATAGCAACCTCATATCATGAATAACTATATGACTAGCAGATGACCTGCCTTTCATATTTTAATTGAAGAAAGGCATCATGCAATATAAGTAATTAAAATAAAGAGATTCACCATGCAATTTTATATGAAAAGGAAATAGAAATAATAAAATTGCATGGCCTACAATCTCATAACAAGTGGTGACAGCGGCGGCAAAAATATGTAGGGAATTGACAGCCGCCGTGTCTGACTGGGCCCCTTCTTGGATCTGGGGCTTGGGTTCCTCAAATACCTCCAATCTCAGACCTAGTTGACCTTGAAGGGCGGGGGGCCCGTTGATTAATCCGACGTCATCCCTTTCTTTACGATCCCATAGGTGATCTTCACCTACGAATTGGCCCGTCGCTTGGCTGAGCGTCAACTGCCCGTCGTGGCCAACGTCTTGGACCCGGGCATCGTGGACACCGAGCTGCAGCGCTACCTGCCAACGCCCGCGCCCACGGCGGTGATGCGCTTCGCCAAGTCGCCGAAGCAGGGCGCGGAGACCTCGGTGATGTTGGCCTTGGAAAAGACGAAGACCTCGGGTGGCTATTGGGTGGATGGGAAGAAGGCGAAGAAGAGAGAGGGAGATTTCAGATGGATGGATAGAGTTCAGAAAAAAGTGCTGCTTGAAAGATGTGAGAGATTTTGGCCTGCCATGTGGTTCTGTTTTTTTGTGCTTTGTCAAATGCTTTGGAGAAGTACAGTAGATCTTTGATGATCTTTGAAGATTTGGGGTGTTCGAAACGCGCCTTTTTGACCTTACTACTAGTAACAAGAAGCTACTAGGGTTGTGAGTTGTGACATGACCTATGAATGCAGGCAGAGAGCCTTGGCCGCGGACCACCACCACTGCCGTTCAACAAGGAATTGGGTGTCGAAGGGTCCACGTCCTATGACACCAAAACATGGGCATCCCTGTGGCGCCAGAGTGCTGAGCTTGTTGGGATTCAAACACCCATTTGATGAGCCTGGCACTTGGATGGCCTTCGACGATACCAGATCAGCAAAGTTTGGAGCAGCTTAGAGCGATCATGAGGTTTGATTCTGAACCCACAACCAAAATCATAACTGTCACATATTTTTGTGCGAAGCTCGAAGCAAGTAGTGGATACAAACAGATAAACATTGCCATGAGGCGCTTACAATCACAACAGCTTCCCAACATCGATTTCACGGACCGCCACTCATTTGACCAGTGCCGCGCAGGAAAAGGAGCATAAGGAGCGCATGGTGGAACAAAACAATGTCGCAACGTCTTATCAGTTTCTATCCTTTCCAGTTGTCTCTACTTGGATCATCAAATGGTTGCATCTCAGCCAGGGTTTCTAAGAGCTGGAATTAGGCCGAACTGTCGTTACTAATGCCCGTGCTAAGGAGGAGCATGTTGAGGGCGGCCACAAGCTGACGGAGAACCTCCTGACAGTGTACAAACTGCCTCCATTCAAGGAAAGACAGCTTTAGAGCCCCATCGCCTTCAATTCGAAGCCTGGGCAACCTGCGAGGAAGAGAAAATTGAAAGGTTATGAAAGCAGTAGCAAGCTTCATTGTTCAGCAATGCTGTATTAAATCTAATTGAACATAGAATTGAAGATCAGACAATGCCGTCCATTTCCACTCTGATGTTAAGCACTCCGCTTTCTTAAACTCCAAGGGAAAGTGATGGCCAGGTCTGAGATGCGCCTGTCTGGCTGCCCAGAGAGGTCCGAGATGGGTCGTAGATGCACTGCTCTTGACCATTCAGTCAGGACCCAGCTGGAGCAGAGTCACCCAAGGTGGTAAGGTGGCTGAAGCTTCCAAATCTCTACACTTTTGCACTTGAGTGCTGCAAAGGAAGCTCTAGTCAAGGCCCAGTCACTGTGCATGCACCTCATCTGCCAAGACACGACATTTGGCTCAACTTGAGCAAAAACTCCAAAAGAGGACTTCTATTTGCGAGGTCAAATTTTTGGTGCGCTTGTCATTGGAATCGGCGGTGTTTGGAGGCATTTACTGAAGTCCCAAAAACCAGATGCCCAACAATATCGGCATCCGCTTTAGAGCACATCATGATGCATCCTCGTCCCTCACCTTCAGACTTTTGAGACCTTGCAAGCCCCGAAAGCTCAATCCCTCCCTTCAAGGATGATGGTAGACTGAGACTATACACGCCCTGTCTCATAGTGACCTTCGTAGAGTAGCCATGGATGAGACCGCCAGCGTTGGGACGACGGCGGAGCCGGGACGTCGGAACTTTCAGGCACAGAACACAGAACACCCACCAGTTCATATTTGTTTGACTCATCCACATGCTAGGCACACTGCATGTCATGCGGGAAAGATGGGTGACAATGAGAAGTTGACTTTAAAATCCGAGGACTCGTACATAGCCTTTAGGATGGATGCCATGAAATGAAACCATTGTTGTTTCAGCTGACGCAGCAAATACGTCCGTGGGGGGTTTTGCTTTGTTTGCTTATAGCAACACCATTCTCCCCAGTGGCATACGCCCGTTGAAGGCGAAGGCAAGCAGTGTCTTTTTTGCGCAGTAAGCTGTGATTCCCTTGAGCCTTGAAGGATGCGATAGACGTCACACCGTGATGTATAGAGAGTGCCATCATGTCTAAGACGAGAAAGAAGCCCACACAACAGGGGGCGGAGGGGTAATAACACTCGTATCTAATGTATTCGGTTGTTAGAAGACTGATTATCTGTGTGTGCTTTAAAGTGCCAGACAGCCGAAATGCTGTAAGGGTTGGAAGGAAGTGCCCGTTTCGCGCGGGGTCGTTGCGGGCGACCTGACCTTGTTTCATGCGCTGTCTCATGCCAGGCATGCACCAATAATCTTCCAAACACATCCAGACAGGTAGAACAACTGTGATGCCCGACAAAGAGGAACACTTGAGCTCGGGGGATCTCCGGGGAAATCTTGTTGTTCTTTCGTCAGTTCGATTCCACCAGCACTAAAAGGACTTAAAAACAGGTGCGGCGTACAGCGTACATGATCAACACATGTGCACTCACTAGAAAAGATTGCAAGATCCTGACATATTTGTTTCATGTTGTTTCTATCACATCACAAGAAGCTCACTGGCACCGAGCCACCGGATCAAGTGCTACCGAACCTCGGTACCTCACAGGCCTCGCGGGTTTCGTTGAGGCGTCCACAGCAGCTGCGTCGCTTTCAGCCCGTCTTTCCGAAAGCTCCATCGAGCTGAAAGCGCCGTTGGCCAGAGTCAGGTCGGAGTGTCGGGAGCCACGCTGGTACGATCTGGTACGGGTGTCGGGAGCGACCGGTGATATTGACCAACGAGACCAAGACCATGAGGTTTCACAAGTCCCAAGTTATGGTGAGAGTTTCTGGAAGGGATCAACATGAGGCAACTTCAGGCCGGGCCGTGGAAAGAATCTGCTGTGGATGTGGATGGACCAACATGAACCCACCAATGGCTCACTTGAGGCCGTTGTACAGGGAAAGAAACACTAATCAGGCTGCGGCTGAAGTTGGAAGAATGCCAATTCTTGACGTACAGTGTTGTTTGTGAGGAATGCCATGTGTGGTTATGCCTTCTGGTAAAAACCCAACAAGATATGATGTATATATATATATATTATATATATATATATATGTAGCTGCAGCACTCAAGAAGCTCCACACGAGCTGATGTGCGTTGACTTACAGTAATTACATTTTATGTGCTTTAGTGAGACAACAGGGTTTCGGGCTTTGGTGAATGAACGCACAGCACATGGCTATGGGATTCCAGAGACCGCGATGCCAGGACAGGCGTGACAACCGCTAGCTTCATATTTCCAGCTACTTGGCTGTCCCAATTGGAGAAGAGAATGACAGTCTCAGTCTGAAATCCTTCTTCCAAAAGCTTTGGCAATTTATGGTGTTGTGAAAAAGCACAGGCCTGCGCAGAGTGTCCCAGGCACGACTATCTAGACCAGGGCGACCATCAGATCGCAGTGAGCCAGGAGCTGGAGCAGTGCGTGCCACTTTGGGATTTGAGATTGACTACAACATACTACAACCAAAGTTGAGTGTTCCTCGGAAACCAAAAGCATATCACAGTTTGCTAGGGTCAGTTTTGGAATGCACAGGGTGCGAATGGTCCACGCAAACGAATTTGCTCATGCCATGGTTCGATCAGACCTGAAAAGATTTCAGCGATCTTGATATGGGTTTCTATTTGTTTAACGTCTCTAGTTTATATAAAGAGTTGGTAAATTCGACTTAGGGGAAGCATACCCCAAAGCATACCTCTGAAGCATACCCCATAGTCAAACATCCGGGCCAGGGATCCTCAAACTCGTACACTCCCTTATGAGTATCCTTCTTTACACCGCAGGGAGACCCTGAAAAGTGCATGATTGAACTCATTGGACATCCAAGACATTCGACAGAAAGGACTTCACGACCGCAGGAGCCGCAGGGCTGATGACCATGTTGGATGACATGTTCCCCAGCAGTTGCACCTTGGATCACCGAGGGGTGGGCAGTGTGCTCTGGGCTTTCGAGTGAGGATACTACAGTAGTTTCGTATCACCGAGTGAATCAAACCCACGAGAAAGAGTATCTCTTTGAATCCCCCAAGCATTCTGATTTCAAATTTGTGATGGCAATCCTTGGCTTTGGCTTATGCAGGGTTCGATTCATTTTGTTTACTTGATGAAGGCCAAAATGGAAAGACCTGGGCGGGGGGGGGGGGGGGACGATGAAGACAGGGATTGAACCATTTGACGATGAAGACGGGAAGACCATCGATTGCACCAACAAGCGATGGCACCTCTAGGTCACAGAGATCCTGAGAAATTCCTCCGCAGGTCCTTCAAGCAGAGAAAGCTTTGGATCCCAGTTACGCTTCAAAGGCCTGGTCAGATTTGGAGTGGTAAGATGTTCTTCCGGTATCATCGGGCAATGTCAATGTTCAGATCAATCCCCAGAGGTGCATCTATCCAGATTTTTCCTCAGTGAGACCAACCTGAGCCGCATGCCGTTGCTTTGAGGCGTTTTCCGGCAGAACGGCTGCTGGCCAAAGAAGAAGGAGAAGAAGGAGAAGAAACTAGCAAGGCAACTGTTTGTCAAATATGTAATGCACGGGCTCAGACAGTTGGGCAATTGCTTCTCAATCTATGGGAAGAGAAGCATCAGCTGGTTCATCTGCAACTTTGAGGAGTATCCCACTGATATTCACCAGTTGACAAATGCCCAGCCTGGAGTTGACCTCATCCCCACAGTTGTTAGGCCACTTCCATTTGGGTGGTTCATACATACGAATTCCTTTTGGGAGCACCTTGGATGTCAAGGCATCGACCTTGCAGTTTGCTTGTGTTCCTTCCCAGTGAAATGAATGTGAAGCTTCTACCGTATATAGATGTTGCAGTCCCTTCCGCCCGTATTTACTATAACAGGGCCTCTCAAAACTGGTTGGTCCCCAAGTTTGGGGGCAGGCACAGTACCTGCAGCAGACCCCCAGCGCTTCCAGACAGCTCAGGTGAGGCACCACCGAGATTTTCAAGAAACAGCTCAGTGGTGCCATAGAGCCTTTGGTTGTGACGCCCTGCACAGCACAAGAGGTGCTGTGCTGTGTACCATTTGCCAACTAAGCTTTACAGTAGGTGAAAATGGTATCGCACCGTCGCCGGCTTGGCCTGCTGATCATAAGCCATGTTTGTAGTTGAGTTAGTTATATTATATTGCTCTCCGGGGCTGTTTGATTGTTTAAATTGCCAGGGTCCCCTAGTATCCAAGCAGGCAGTGGATTGAACTAGTCTCAATAGGTTGCGCCCGATGATCTCAAGAACCTCGATGTATTAAGCTTCACAAGAGAGCATATCAGAATGATCAGTATCATGTCAGATGCATCATATGGCAATTGCCCGAGTTCCTTTCACTCCAGCCAAAATCGCTAGTGGCTAGGCGTGGACAGACAGCTTGGCCACCATGCAGGTTCTTCTGGGTGTCTAGTGACAAACAAAGG